TCATTATCAACTTGCACCATTCATTTATCTCTCCTTTCACACATTGTTTCAGCAGGACATAAGGACACTGAACTAACAGGTGACCACCCTACTGTATGCCGTGGCTACGGTTACGCCACTCAGGTACATTACACAGATCGAGGTTTGAAAACCCGGGGGAATATGTTGTTATAATGTATTCTGGGGGGGTTAAACTACTCAGAACCCAAACTGATCAGTTAAACAGAAACATGGAAAGATTCAGGAGATTTAACAGTAACCCTCAAAAATCGTAGTTAAAGGAAAATGGCAATTCTGATATCAAAGGAAATGGACTGAGCATGGCTTGGCTTTTGGCAAACTATTATCACAGGGAAAAGATCTTCTGGATGGCAGTCTGATACCAGGTTAGCTCAAATCTGTGCCTGAGATATGTCTGGCAGAGTTTAGATGTTGCCTTAATTAAAACATTGCACATTTAGAAATTTGAGCAGCAAGGTGATGGTGTTTGCAATTGAAAACACCTCTATATTTTTTTGTATGGATAAACTTTCTTTTATATACAAATCAGGGAGTGGTTGGTTTGATATTGCCCCAGAAGAGCTTTTCATTGAACATCTCTGCCCATTAAAGCCATTATGAAAGTAAACATTCAAACCTAGGCTTCCTTGACTGGAAGCTTGGATTGGCAAAATGAGGTTAGTTGACCTAATTTAGGAATCCATTCCCTTTGGTACATTGATAAGTTGTCTGGTGAGAAAGGCTGGAGAAAGGCTGAATCTATAACTGCAACTTCCCTGCAGGTAATCTACACTCAGTGTCTCTGTCCTTCCAGTGTAGTGTACAATCCCCTTACTTTTTCCAGAGATACTTGGGCAAATTGCCTGTGCTTTCTCACTGAACACTGGACAGGAATTTGCAAAGGAGCTAATGGTGAAGGGGATGAACTCCCACAAGTCTTTCTGATGCATTTATTGATGGCATTTCCTCTGTCAATGCAGATGCTTCAATGCTATGTCACGTTCACTAAGTAAATGAGGCATTCCTGTAATTTACAGTTACCACATATTTTTAGCCACATTCATTTCAAGGTTATAATAAGCAACAGAGAGCTAAACAGGCATTCCCAAGAAGCCAAACTTGTTACTTCTGTCTTCTTCAATCCACTGTTAGCACATTGACTTTTTGTTTACTGCTGTTGGAACTGTTTGTTATCTAATTCTGTATACTTACACCCTATAAACAAGTTATCTATTCTAATGCTCTGTCTAGACAAAGACTTAGAGGTGTGATGATAGCCTGTGCAACCAATTTTAACCCATGCTAACCTGTTAGAACCTAGGCTCCCCTTGATTCTTTAAGACAGTCTGTTCAGCATGTTTCAAAGGTAATGTGTCCTGTCTAAAGCTTAAGAAAAATATACTTTGACAAAAGCTCTAAGAAGACAGCAATGTGCATCACTAGTCTCTTTGTGTAGCTGCTAGGTTCCATCCACCTCCCCCCACTTCAAGCTGGCATAGTATTTTTTTGTAAAACAATGTGTCTTTGTTTTATTTATAAACCTGCCTATCACTTTTGCCTTTGTGGAAGACTCCACAGTTTTATCTAGGCTCTCTTCACAATGAATTTTTAACTGATGTATTTGCAGTCACATGTAATCTTTACTGTGGACTTCTAGTTCTGCACTGAGCCAGACAGTTAACCCTCAGAATAAACTGTACCACTAGTGCCACCTTTTCCACTAGGGTAGTGCATCTGCTTTAGGTACTGTTGCGACTGTTGTCCTGTATAATACAAGTTGTCCTGAATTATGTGTCAAATGTCTTACAAAATATATATTGAATTCAGTTTTTCCCAGGGCAACCATCAAATTAAAGGAGATTTTCTGAATGCAGAAATTACTTGTCTATAATTTGTCTGATCTCACATTTATTAGAACAGTTGATTGATGTGCAAAGTACTTCATTCCGAATCAAATAAAACATGTGCATAACTTTTCTCTCTAGGACTATATTGAATTTTCATATTTAAAATCTAAAAAAAAAAAAAAAAAAAAAAAAAATCAGTGTGTAACCACTGCACAACCATGTTAATGCAAAAAAAAAAAAAAAAAAAAAAAAA